GTCACATGGTCACGTGGATCGGTTGTGCCGTCATATTTTGAAATGTCGGGCATTTTAAACTTTTTAGGGATTGAAAGGGGAGCAGCACTCGGTTTCCAAGGTTGTTGTGAATATTTATCCGCATCTATTCCTTTGATTATTGGGGGGACTCCAGGGATTTACTCGATGTGTTCGTTTTGTTCTTTGAGTTGTGTCTGCAAAGTTAGTACCAAATTGTGTAAATAAGAATTATTTGTATTACCTGGATTCATTTCTCGTGGTTCAATGAGGGTTCCTTCGTTTGAATTAACAAGGCCAGAACGAGGATTCTCCAGCGTATTGTTATTAGGCGAAGGTGTGGACGGCGCAGCACGAAACCGGTTAACTAGCGCTTGAAGAGCTTGGTTAACCCGAACGTGCATCAATTATTCTTTGCAGAGCTTCTTCGTCGGTACCCTCAAAAGTGTTCTGATTGCTCCTGCTCATCAGAATGTGATTTAGGAGTGCCTTCACGAGATTGACGTGGTGAATTTTGAAGGGCAGGAACCGCGTTAAAGTTCTGCAAATTTCCTTGATCTTGATGCATTTGATTGTCACAGTTCCCCAAGGTGTTTTCACTGTTATTATTGTCATGTGACATGATGATAACCACAGATAAAATGTAACTTAAAAAGAATAGATTATCAGATTCCCGGTAACGGAACCAATTTGTTTCGCCAAAGAAATAAATTTTTGGATAATATTAGAATTTGAGATGAAAAATCGGGTTACTGATAATCAAGAGACCAAAATAATAATAGGCTTTCTGAGAATAATAATAAAGCCGTAAACAAAAGTTCTTATTTTAGTATGAGGTAAGTCATGTCCTTTTTCCAATACAATTTCCTCCTTTTATAGTTGATTCTAGGTAAAGGAAATAAATCTAAGCTTTAATGAGACAATTATGGACAATAAATGACATTAAATGAGCCGTTATACAATCATTCCTATTAAATACCAATTTTCTAACGTATCAGGTATTTAATACTGAATTTGGACTCCTTTTTGTCTTCAGATTCATGTCTTCAATGCCTTTCGACCCGCTGGCTTTAAATGACTTCGAATTGGTACGAGACTCGTGTCTAAACTGCTTCTCGTGCCTATTTCATTTCTTCTTCCCGTACCTGTCATTTCCCGTACCTTTTCCCTAACTGTTACGCTTTGACCACTTGTCCAGTCCACGTGTCATGCCACGTCATCTTAAATATAAATTCAACTTTTTTTCCCAATACAGATAGTCCCCCCACTTTCCATTTATTTATCAATTAAATAATTGGAAAGTGGACCTTCGTAAAAAAGGAATTTTTGCCATAATCAATGTGTATGACAATATTGTCGTCTCAATTGTCTTTTCCATTTAATGTTTTGCCCATGTGTCACCTTCTGATTGATTCTGCTATTTTACACCCTTTTTCAAAGCTCCGTTAATCCCACTTTTCACGAAGTGATAGTTGCCTTTATTATAGGCTTTCCATCATTACTCTTCTAAGTTTGACGGTTGCCATCATATACATACTTAACCTTTTCTTCCTTTGTCCTCTTCTCCATAAATCTTTAGCAAACGTTTTCCTTCTTTACTTTTGCTCTCCTTCGATTCATCTTTGCTCAACAATGNAATATAAAAAGAAACCTCAAACAATCGCAAAATAAAGATCATAGAAAATTCATATGAACCTGGCCCGAGAGTTGAGCTTCGAAATAATCCAATGATTGAGTGAGTAGAGAGGAGTCGGAACTCGGAAATGAAATGGCGCCCAAATCGCCAAAGTATAGCGTTCTTGGCGCTGGCTGTTTCGCCAAAGAAATAAATTTTTGGATAATATTAGAATTTGAGATGAAAAATCGGGTTACTGATAATCAAGAGACCAAAATAATAATAGGTTTTCTGAGAATAATAATAAAGCCGTAAACAAAAGTTCTTATTTTAGTATGAGGTAAGTCATGTCCTTTTTCCAATACAATTTCCTCCTTTTATAGTTGATTCTAGGTAAAGGAAATAAATCTAAGCTTTAATGAGACAATTATGGACAATAAATGACATTAAATGAGCCGTTATACAATCATTCCTATTAAATACCAATTTTCTAACGTATCAGGTATTTAATACTGAATTTGGACTCCTTTTTGTCTTCAGATTCATGTCTTCAATGCCTTTCGACCCGCTGGCTTTAAATGACTTCGAATTGGTACGAGACTCGTGTCTAAACTGCTTCTCGTGCCTATTTCATTTCTTCTTCCCGTACCTGTCATTTCCCGTACCTTTTCCCTAACTGTTACGCTTTGACCACTTGTCCAGTCCACGTGTCATGCCACGTCATCTTAAATATAAATTCAACTTTTTTTCCCAATACACTGGCGGCCTGCGTGGGTAAAGTCGTGAAGTGAACCGGTGAAGAATTGATGTCTGAACTCTAAGAATGGAGATGAGATGAGAGTCGACTGGTCGTAATCGTACGGGGAAGTGGGATCTGGGAGTCGAATGGAGATCAGATGATAGCCTAATGCCCTAATTTGATAATTGCTTGACTAAGAGAGTAAGAGAGGAAGAGTAATGGGCTTGGGGCTTGGGCAATTGGGCTTGGGGGAGATGTTTGGGGTTGGCCAGCTGGGTGGGACGGTGGGTACTGGGTAGATAATTAGATATAGGTCCATAAAATTTCGGTATTTCGGTATTACCGAAATTTTAAAATTATAATACCGAGAACCGAACCGAAATACCGAAAATCCAGTACCGAATTAGACCGAAATACCGAAATAACCGAAACCGAAATACCAAATTATTTCGGTTCGGTTCGGAATTCGGTTTTTCGGATTTTATGCCCACCCCTACCTAAAAGCTTAAGTCAAAAGTTTTGTGGGATCGTGACATTTGTGTGACTATAAAAGTTTCTCATTTAAAAATTTTTAAAATGAAAAGTTTAAAGTTAAATTATTTCTAAATATAGAAATATGTCATTCTTTTTTAAACAAACTAATAAGGAAAGTATGTCAATTAAATTGAAACAGAGGAGAGTAGTATGTAAAAGTTACATTTGAAGAAAAATTACTGGTCTAGCATACAAGGGTCAAGCTATTTAAATTTGGTTATTTACATATTTAAATGTTGTGTAAGAGTACTCCTATAAAGCACAATTCATATAGCTAAAACCATCTTTAAAATCTTTCATAAATCGCAATCAAGAAAAAAAAATGATTCACCAAATAATAATAGTTCGTTTAAGAATTGAGACATAGGAGTAATGGCTAGACAATCTTAGGTTCATATCCCAGTTAGCATGCTGTTCCATGGATTAGTGAAAATGCACACGACCTGGTCCTGACACACCATCATAAAGAGTAAATAAAATGGGATAGATGAAAGATTAATTAAATTTATATCCGATGTATATCATGTAGGCTTTTAGGAGCAATGTTTCGTACTTTTGGAGTTGTAAAAATGTGGTGAATGATGTTGTGCTGGCTTTTCTTATGTTTAAATTTGGTGTTTTCATTTGATGAATGGAGGTATTTGGATTTCTTTTTGTATAACTTGATCTGGAATATGTTTTATGTTATTATAATCATCCGTTGTATAATTATTTGTTGATTATTATACATATTTGTCAAATATAATAGCATGAAAAACTTGTGTCATGTTCCCTTAATTTTTAAAGTATCCGTGACCCCATGTCTGTATCTATGTTATTCAGACTTCATTCATATCTTTAATAATTGCATACTTCTTTTTACTTCGACTGAAATCTAGAAATTCATTTTATTCACATTATCGTGGTTCTTGACTAATTAGTTTTATCTTGGATCAGTTAGTGTTTTGCTACATCAGTAGGGAGTTCACCAGTTAACTGCTTTAAAATGGATAACAAGCAAGAATCTAAGATTCTATTGAAGCTTCTGGTTGATGAAAAGAAGGATCAAGTTGTTGCAGCTGAAGCTAAAGTAGATTTTATGGACATACTCGTTAGCCTTCTTACTTTACCACTGGGAACAATAATACGACTCATCAAAGCAGAGGCGGGAGTTGTTGGCTGCATGAACAACTTGTACCAAAGTGTTGAAAACCTCAGTGAGGAAGATCTGTTCATAGAGCAATGCAAAACCTTGTTGCTAAATCCAAGAAATCCCTATCCAAAGTATTGCATGAGGTTGAAAGTGAACGTAGATGATTCCGTCTTTGAGAAGTATTATCAGTGTTCAGATTGCTCAAATACAAGCTATTTCATGAATGTTGAGTGCCCATGTGATGGAACGTTTAATAAAGAGAAGTTTTTGAAAGATTTAGTTGATACTACTTGTTGTGATGAGTACGTATTTCTCAAAGGGGGGATATCATTTTTAATCACCGAGGATTTGCAAGTCAAGTGTGCTTCTCCAAGCTCTCTTGTTCAGATGCTTTCTAATGTTGGCCTGAGTGACATGTATCAGATAAGGGAGATATGCTTGTAGAAGTTGGCAAGAACGAGGTAATATCCTTTACCATTTTGCAAATTGCAATAGGGTCAAGAAAATTAGTGATTACTAATTTACCAGGACTTTGTAATCTGAATATTACTCTGTCTTTCTGATGATATGGTTTCTTTTACATGTTTTGTTGTGATTTTTGTATATTGCCGTTCTTTTCTCAACCATTAAGGTGATTCATCTACTAGCATGTTCATTGATCTCAAAGACGCCCTTGTCTGATGTGTTTCTGTGCAAGCAAAAACAAAAAAAGAGCAAGATTAGACACCATCACAATGTCCGAGCTTGGAAATTTGTCATCCATTTCTGAAGATGGAACAAGTAATAACACCAAGAAATTAGAGCTGAAGCTAACATTAAGAAAGTCTACATACAAGGCCTTATGGCATCGAATTCATTGATTTTCTCTTCAACTTCTTGATCATTCCTATAGGATCAGTTGAAGATGCTCAAAAAGGGAGTTCTGGATTGGGATGCATCGATAACTTGTACAAAAGTGTGTAGGCTTTAGATTCGAAATGGTTCAATATGTATGCGAATAGGAATGTTCATGGAAGTATGGAGAATCACAATCTTAAGAGGATATTACCCAAGCCTGGTATTGCCCCTTACCATAATTCTGAGAACCAGCTACTGCAAATTGGAACTGCAGAACTAAATGTGCCTATGTATGATATTGAAGAGAAAATGATCAGTGTTGGTGAGTCCGAAGCGTTGAGCTTGCTGAAGGCCTCTTTACCATCATCAGCTTTGACAGAGGGCCTGAGCCACAGACTGAAGAAGCAAATTGATGAAGATGTATAGTTTACACTTGGAATTTTTCTCAGGCTGGTTACACTTGGAATTTTTCTCAGGCTGGTTAGCAAATTAACCAGTTTTAGATGTTTCCTCAATAGATGATTAGTCCAAGCTTTTCTCCTAGTTGGTAAAAGGGCCAAGGTTAACTCTAAAAGTAACTTCAGGGCTCTCAGGTTTTCCTCAATATCCTCCTACTAATACATTAATGAATTGAGTACTCTCTCCTTTGTCATTACATTGGCACCTCATGAATTGCCTCATGAACCTTCATATTTTCTACCTAATTTTTAGTTGCTGGATTTACTTCGTTTATTTTACACTTCAATAGATCCTTGTGGTCAATTCCCTTCCCCGGACCTCGCACATAGCGGAAGCTTAGTGCACCGGGCTGCCCTTTTAGCCTCTTGCATAAATGCAGGGTAAGGTTGCGTACAATAGACCGCGTACAATAGACTGTTATGGTTCGGCCCTTCCCCGGACCCCACGCATAGCGGGAGCTTAGTGCACCGGGCTGCCCTTTTTTAGTTTTAAGTGGGCCAATCTTTTTTTTCTTCTTTTATATCTATTTTATAGTTATCTTTTAGTCATTTTAACTAAGATTTGAATGTGTTATATGTCTAAATGATTAATTCAGCATCTAAGGATATGACCGGAAGTTGTTATGAAAATCATGGGAGAATAGGATTAAACTTTCAATGGAGACAAAAGAGTTGAGTGTTTTATTCTTTGTTTTATCACCTCCTAACACATCATACTTCCACTTGCCCTAGTAAATAGTGGATTAAGAAATTAAAAGGACAAGGAGTATATAGGATATATTCTTACTCGTTGTGTTTCATGTAAAAGAGTAAACTCAAATGAGACTCTCTCCTATAAAAGAAAATTAGGAGATTTGAACCTTATGTACACCATTGTTTCAAGGCTTTTTGCCATATGCTGATCTTTAGCATCCGGTGCCAATGCAATATTCTATATTTTGTAATCTTGTTATGAGTCATTTCTTGGATTGAAATTCTCATTCTGGATATTTTCTTTATTCCCATTGTTCGATTCACTTAAAAAATAATTGGTTTGGCTATAAGGAACATGAGATTTTTTAGATTTATTTTTTATTTTTTTCCCGGTGTCCGATGTTCGTTTTGGGGTCCGACTGATCAGGATTCTTGCTGGAAAGTTTCACTTGAAGAGTAAAGCACTTCCTACTAAAGGCGACTCCATTCTCAGAGTTGGAACACCAAACCTTTGATTAAGACTGGATGGGTATTAATTTAACCCCATAATCTTAGATGGTACTCGTTTTGAAATGTGCTTATTGTGTGACAAATCGTATATGCAATAGGAAATCTTAAGTTTACGCATTATTAATAAAATGTTGGATGAGAATCTAATCAGCATATGAGCAAGCTCCAACTAATCATGATTATCTAATGCAGTACTTTTATTATTCATTATTCTAAAGTCCATTAAATAAAATAATTAGGTCAAAAGCACATGGTTGAGTGGATGATCTTGACGTAGTTGCAAATATATTATTGTCTTTATTCATTTTGTTTCATATATTATTCGAAGTTAGATGAGCACTCTGAGAAGCTTCACATATCGGGGGACGTGTGTTCATGCTGCTATCATTTCTCCTTTCGTTCAATCAAATACGACTCAAGTTCAACCGGATCAGAGTTGGACAGTCGGCTATACGAATCTTTAATATTCATATTCATAAATAAAAAAATTCATCACAATTAACTAGATTAGTTTTATATTGACACTTAATCTACCACAATTTTCTCCATTATCTATACTAGTATTAGCACATGCGCGCAGACATTAACCATGTCAAATATTTGAGTTATTTGGATTATATGTAAATATTCTTAAATTTTAAATCTTCTCGATAAATATATATAATCATGGAATATTAATTAAGAAACACTAGTCTCAAATCTCCTAGTTATTATCATACTTTTCTTTTTGGTATTATTCTCGCCGGTGCCATTGAATCCTAAAAATAGTTAGGAAGCAAAATAATAACTCATATTTATGGCAAAACAATGTCACGACCCGGATTTCCCACCCTCAGGAGTCGTGATGGCGCCTAATAATGAGAGCTAGGCAAGCCAATTTTAATTACCTTTCCATTAATAACATAATTCCTCATAACTATTATCGGCAATAATACAAAAGTAACGAATTTAAATAATAAGCGGAAGTCTCAATATTATAGAAAACTGAATTAAAAATGCGGAAAATCCCAACAAAAGCCTCTACCCAAGACTGGTGTCACAGCTTCACAGACGGTCTAAGAATACAACACATAAAGGTCTGAAAGAAATAAACTCGACATTGTCTCCAGAAATACATGAAGGAAACAAGAATATAGATGAAAGGAGACGCCAGAGCCTGCGAACGCCTGCAAGGCTACCTCGGGTCTCGCTGGACTGAAAGCCTGCTCCCATACTACCGCTGCTGCTGTCCGAAGCCTGGATCTGTGCAAAATAGCACAGAGTGTAGTATCAGCACAACCGACCCCATGTGCTGGTAAGTGCCTAGCCTAACCCCGGCGAAGTAGTGACAAGGCTAGGACCAGACCACCAAATGAACCTGTGCAGATATATATACAAGCACAACGAAATAATAGCGGAAAGTAAACAATTAAAGCTGGGAGGGGGAAAACATGCTTATGGGGTAGCAGATAAAACAAAATATCAGGAATAACAAAAGAAACTATATCTGATTTCTTCTAACACGGAATAAGGGAAAACAAACCACTTTCACTTGTTTCAATTTTCTCTCGTTGCAGGCGTGCAACACGATCCCATTTCCTCATATCACGTGGTAGGCGTACCACTCGATCCCATATCATAGTATCACGTGGTAGGCGTACCACTCGATCCCATTTCATAATATCACGTGGTAGGCGTACCACTCGATCCCATTTCATAATATCACGTGGTAGGCGTACCACTCGATCCCATTTCATAATATCACGTGGTAGGCGTACCACTCGATCCCATTTCATAATATTACGTGGTAGGCGTACCACTCGATCCCACTTCATAATATCACGTGGTAGGCGTACCACTCGATCCCATTTCAATATCATTTGTGGTAGGCGTACCACTCGCTCCCATTTCAATATCATTTGTGGTAGGCGTACAACTCGATCCCATTTCAATATCATTTGTGGTAGGCGTATCACTCGCTCCCATTTCAATATCATTTGTGGTAGGCGTACCACTCGCTCCCATTTCATTAACTCAACCGTTCCTCCAAAAGAAAATTTACTCTAACAAAACGCAACAATTAATACGAGTTCATAAGACAACAAGTACACAAAATTTATGATTCACTAAGAAAAATAAATAATGACAAATAGCAGTTAATTATGGATTATAAGGAGGCAAGTAAGCAGTTTAGTAATTAATACGTTGAATGACGCGTAGCAATTAAGTCACATAAACACGTAGCAATTAAGGCATAAATTCAAGACATAACGTTGCGCAAGGGCACCTTGGTTCGATAATAACAAATAACACAAAAAGGGGGAACGTCAACATAAAGGATCACAGAAATAGTGGAATAAGACATTTAATGCACTTGAACTAATAACAACAAGAAATCATAGCAAACGGCAATAAGTGCACGGCATCACCCTTCGTGCTTTTAACACTTTTCCTCACCCAATCAACAATCACAAACAAGGGCAAGGGAATAAATAAACAATAATGGAAATCCCGGCAAGGGAACACAAACAAACAATTAAAACCCGGCAAGGGTACAACATCAATAATCTCAACGTCCCGGCAAGGGAAAAATATTCAATAACTCATTCTCTTTCTTTCACTTTCATCTCATAGTTCCCATTATCACTCGATCCAATGCTCCAAAGATTTACTTATCTCATATACCTTCACAATTTGCATTTCAATTCGAGCCAACGCTCCACGAAGTTTAAAGGTCACAATTCCTTTCACAAGCTCTTTACAACATTTAGAAGTCATCAATTAAGCATGGAAGGTATAACAAAATCCAAACTATTCGCAAAATAAGGACTCACGGTCATGCTAGACACCAATGTATAGATACTCGTCACCATGCCTATACATCGTACTCGACAATCAACAAGTAGCAAATAAGACTCAACTCCTATTCCCTCAAGCTAGGGTTAGACCAAACACTTACCTCGAATG